TTTGAGTTTTGATACCCAAGTACCCAACTGTCTTCATTTTTCATTTTAATTATTTATTTTTAATGTGGGAAATGCTACAGCCCTATTATGGAACCATTTCATCAGGATATATAACTGTTAGATCACCATGTAACCATCGTGGATAGTTGATCTAACGATTACAAATATCGACGGAATGGTTCACCTTAAAATCTCCCTTTTAATGCATATATCATATACTACTCCAACTCATTTTCATTCTGTCTTATCTATTCTCGATTTCATCGAATAGTTAAATAAATTATTTTGTTATGCGGTCATTCGTTGGAATTTAAATTATAAAAGTGATGTTTGATAAACTTATGAGATAAAATAGCTTATAGTTATACGTGGTTTTTGGGCTTATGATTTATAGCTGAAAAATTAGCATATGATAAAAGTGTGATAAATTTATCTGATAAGCTAGCTGAAATAAAAATTTCAACAGATTTATTTGAAAAGCTACCCAAAGAAGCATAAGCTCGGGTTTTTTTAGAAAAACTCGTCATAGCAAAATTGCATTCTGAAATTGAAACTAAATATCTCTATATTTGTAAAAGTTTTACAAGATACTCTTAAGATTTTCTAAAATCTCAATTAGGTATCTCTAGACTTTTGTCAATATCTAAAATTCCAAATTAATTATATGAGGATAGTTTTGCTATGGAGCTATCGGATGGCTCGTCTTATGAAGTCATCGACCATTATTCACCAATAGTGTATTGACACGTGTCTTACAATAAATATAATTTGGACAGGTGTCAACACATTAAGTGGTAGATGGCTTCATACGAAAACCATCTAATGGCTCCATAGAATTTTTGTACATGAGGTTTGTCAAAATGAATACAACTTAGTTTGTTGTTTCACTAATTTTAAAATTATTATTATTAGTTTAAGAAAAGAAAATAAAGTTAAAAGTTTTCATAATCTTTCATAATCAAAACTTGCTGACCAAATTTTCATAATCTTTCATAATCAAAACTTGCTGACCAAATTTTAATAATCAAAATTTTCATAATCTTTCATAAAGTTAAATATTTTCATAATCTTTCTTAAATATTAATAATAATAAGTTACATCTTACATGTGTTGTGCATTGTGAGTATGGCCTTGTAATTAAGATGTATGGATTCGCTAGTTTCTTAATTTGTTTACATGCTATGTGTTATTCGAGTAAGCTGCACGCAAAACTTGCTGACCAAATCATGAAGAGTATATCAAACTAATGTCAGCATCTCCTTGCATTATCATCATGCAGAAGATTCAAAGAGCGCGGTTTTTGTTTCTAATTAACTCGACTTGACTCACCCGTCGATGCATGCTCATGTTGTAATTGTGATGTATTTTCTTGAGGGCGATTCGGAAAAAAGGACTAAAAGCAAAACTACGATCAATGCTATTACTCGGCTTCTTTCGCTAGAATCTAATATAGCTAAAAGTCGCAAAAACTATGCCTTTGTGGTATGCAATCCTCGAATTCAAGTGTTGTGCCGGCACAAGAATAACCCTTTCTAAATTTCGCCATGTTCTTGTTATTAGCGACCTCCACCTCAACTGCGAAAACCGCACAAACGGGCCTATGATCCGAAAATCTCGATTCCCCACGTATGTATGATAGTTGCTCGATGCCACCTCCACGCCATAAAATTCTATCACACCTAAAAACCACGTAAATAAAAGTACGACGACATCAATAGTATTAACACACAATCTAACTCTTAACTCAGAGTACAATATAACTGATCGACACGTCTAATAGTTAGGCAACAAATTTATATCAAGAATGTAAGAAACCTTTCTCTTGTGGAGGAATCTTGCAATTGCCCATTATTTCAAGGGTGGCTTTTAATTTGTATTTATCTTGATATGTATTTAGAAATACTTATTGAATGAATAAAAAAGTTAAAATGGAAGATGTACATATAAAAAAAAGGAGATCCTACAGTCCCGTTACATAATCATTCCGTCGGAGTTTGTAATCGTTAGGACGGTTACATAATGATCCAACAGTTACAAACCTCGACAGATTAATTTCGTAACGGGACGGTAGTATTTCTCTAAAAAAAAACACAAAGAAGTCTGTTAAATGGAGATAAGGTAGTCAATACATAGAGGGAGTAAGAATTATTAATTACTTAAAAAAATACCATGCAGGGGTCCTCCTTTTCTTCTTGGACTTGGTGGTCTCACCAGCATATGAATCAGAATTGTGGGAATACTTGTATGTGGGCGCGAACACAATCTTGCCCTCGCTCCACCCAATAAATACTCTTCCTGCTTCTCTTTCCTTGTTCAGCTGTATGTCCTCATGGTCAAACAATATATATATCCGTTCAATTATTATTAAGTATTAAGAATAATTATACAAGAAAAATAAAATTACATGTGTTGTTTAGACATGGTCAATGGTCGAACTGAACTGGCTCGATAAGCACTGACGGAGCTACATGGGGCCCAGGGGGGTCCCTGGGCCCCCCTCATATTCTAAAAAAAATCAGTATATATGTATATGATATAAAATAAATATATTAGTAATTAAAATT